TATATATTTATTTATTTATTTATTTATTTATTTATTTATTTATTTATTTATTTATTCATTTATTTATTTAGATATATTAATATGAGAACAAAATAAATTATCATTCTCATTATTTCATGTAATTTATATGATAATTTTATGCTAATCTCTCTATTTTTTTTAACCATAAGGCGTAATAGTATAATTGCACAATATTAATATATTTACCTAATAATTATTATGGTAATTAACGAATTAGTTGGAAAGATATTAGTATAATTAACTATTAACTAATAATTATTATGGTAATTAAGTTAATAATTACCTTAATCATAGTCTAATTAAAATTAAACATGGGTCGTTGAATTTGGTTTATACATATTACAAGTAATTTTATGACAATCTATCTATATATATATGAAAAAGTTCAGGTGTGAATTTTGGGTTTTGTGTGAACCTATGCACTAATTGTGCACGTTCATTTTAGATGATCAAATGGTTGTGACCGCATATAGTGTGGGTGCATGTGGCACCCTGTGCATTGTGCGCATAATATATTTTGGCCGGTCAAGGTCATAGGGGCGTTTTTGTATTTCAACCGTGTTAGTGGGTGTCATTTTTTTTCTTTTTCTTTTTTTTTTCTTCCGCTTCACTCTCTCTCGCACCGTAATCTCAGAGCTGTCTCTCTCCGAGGGCTACGCATTTAGTTATGGCTAGGTCCACAAGTTCACACATTAAGAGTGGTATGCACCAGAAAACCACCCTATATATATATATATATATATATATATATATATATATATATATATATATATATATATATATATATATATGTGTGTGTGTGTGTGTGTGTGTGTGTGTGTGTGTGTGTGTGTGTGTGTATTCAAATGAGGACAAGTATATTATAGAGAACTGTGAGGACAGATGTAGTGTGTGCCATTAGCTGGTATGCTGTGTGCATGGCCGAATGTAGTCGTGTGCCACAGTTTGTAGGTCGCGTGCTAGATTTGTTAATTTATAGAGCCTGGGTTCGAAACCTGATGGTTACATTTATTCTTGTGTGCCATTATGTATTAAGTTGTGTGCCTGGTATTAATTTGTTGTGTGCCCATTATTTGTCCTCACAATCCTCTATATATTGTTGTCCTCATTTGAACTCAACCCCATATATATATATATATATATATATATATATATATATATATATATATATATATATATATATATATATATATATATATATATATATATATATATAAAACAAATTGCACTTTTGGTCCTGTGAGTGTTAGGGTACTGACAATTTGAGTACGTGACTTTCAAAAATCCCAATTTAAACCTTTAACTATGCATTTTTTGGCACATTTGGTCCTCCGGGCCAAATTGCCGGCCAATTTTGGCCGGAAAAACATAAATTGGTTCAAATTGTTTTTTGACGAGGGTAAAATTGTCATTTCACTCTCTTCTTCTTCATTCTCCCCCTTCTTCTTCATTCTTCTTCTTCTTCATCCGGAAAAATGGAGGCTTATATTATTACTGAGCGGCGCCGGTGAGGAACGGGGTTGAGAGTTGAGATGATGATGATGAAATGCATTATTATTACTATTATTCCCAGTAATGGCTCTGGCACTCTCTTCTGCTAATGCATCACAGAAAGCTCTGTGTGTGATAAAACTATCCCTCCTGCCCATATCAAAACTAATATAATTGAACCCATTTTTGGTCAAGAAATTAGAAGAAAAGGGTGAAGAGTTAAAGATTAGAATACCTAGAAAAAAGGGTTCCACAGTCGCATCTATATTCCCTTGTTCCACAGGTTTTAGAGTGAGCCTTCCAATCAGACTGAACTGCATAGCGCTTAGAACATTTGTCACATTTCCACTTCTTCTCCCCATGTTTTCTGCAGAAATGCTTCTTAATCCCAGTGAGGTCTCCTAGGCCTCTAGATGGGTCATGGTGGACGCAGTTAGTTTCTGGGCAAACATGCATACACCTTCTTCCTCACAACATCCTTGCTGCTTCTCTGCTTCAACTTCAACATTCTTCGTTTTTCCGACAACGCATTGCCGACAACTAACGCATGAGGGTAAAATTGTCTGACCACTAAAGCATTGCCGACAACGCTGTTTTCTTCTCCTTTTTCCGGCCGCCGGTGAGCGAAGAAGAAGAAGAACGAAGAAGAAAGGGAGAATGAAGAAGAAGGGAGTGAAATGACAATTTTACCCTCATCAGAAATTAATTCGAAGCATTAAATCTTTTTCCGGCCAAAATTGGCCGGCAATTTGGCCCGGAGGACCAAATGTGCCAAAAAATGCATAGTTAAAGGTTTAAATTGGGATTTTTGAAAGTCACGTACTCAAATTGTCAGTACCCTAATACTCACAGGACCAAAAGTGCAATTTGTTAGTTCATATATATATATATATATATATATATATATATATATATATATATATATATATATATATATATATATATATATATATAAAGTTCAAATGCGGCGGGGGTCTTCCCGTGCGGCGATGCGGCGGAATTCCAGAATACACCAACAGTGTTAACAATATGCACCAACAGTGTAAGAAAAACACAGAACAGTGAAATGCAATAAAACATCACAAAATACACAACAGACTCAAAAAAATACACCATATAACTCACCACCCCCAATGGTATATTTCTGAATAGTGTAGGGTGTTTTTACTCACACCTAATGGTGTGTGTTTGGTGATGCCGGGTTCTGTTTACTCTAATTTTTGTGGTGTATTTTCCTAACGTTGATGGTGCATATTTGTTGAACTATTGGTGATGCCGCACCGTAAGACACCGCCGCACCTGAACTCGCCTATATATATATATATATATATATATATATATATATATATATATATATATATATGTATATATATATATATATACATATATATATATATACATATATATATATATATATATATATATACATATATATATATATATATATATATATATATATATATATATATGTATATATACATATATATATGTATATATACATATATATATATATATATATATATATATATATGTATATATATATATATGTATATATACATATATATATATATATATGTATATATATATATACATATATATATATATATATATATATATATATATATATATATATATATATATTTATAAATTTTAGTTAAGTACCTTGTGCACAGATGGTATCCGGGTCGGACTCCTATATGGGAGGTTGTGAATTTGAGCCTCAGTCGTTGTGTTATTGGCTTTTTGTTTTTCTATGTTGAACAGATACTACATTGTAATAGAGTCAGTAGCATTCAAATATAATTCTATGAGAACAAAATAAATTATCATTCCTTATTTTCCATGTGTGTGTGTGTGTGTTTATATATATATATATATATATATATATATATATATATATATATATATATATATATATATATATATATATATATATATATATATATGAAGGTTCAAATGCAGCGGTGTTTTACGATGCATCGTCACCAATAGTTCAACAAATATATACCATCAACGTTAGGAAAATACACCACACAAACTATTAGCTGTGATTAAAAACACCATATAATGTCTGGAAATACACTGTTGGCGGTGGTGAGTTATATGGTGTAATTTTTGGGTTTGTTGTGTATTTTTTGGTGTATTTTTTTTTTTTTTTTTTTGCATTTCATTGTGGTGTGTTTCCCTTACACTCTTGGTGCATGTTGTTCACACTGTTGGTGTATTCTTAAATTCCGCCGCATTGTCGCATTAGAACTTTTTCCTATATACATAGGCACACACACACTGAAGGTATAAAAGTATAATTGCACAATATTAGTATAATTACCTAATAATTATTATGGTAATTAAAAGATTAATTGCACAAAAAAAATTATAATTGATTAATAATTATTATTTTAATTAAGCTAATAATTACAAGGATTTTAGTATAATTAGATGGGTCATTTAATTTTTTTTATATAATAGTTAAAATTAATAATCATTAATATATAGAGGAGGTGGAATAAAAGTAAAGGCAATCTGGTGAATAGAATTATACTTAAGATATAAAAGTAGAATTGCATAGACATTATTATAATTAAATAATTAACAAATAATTATTATGGTAATTAAGCTAAATATAGATCGTTGAATTTATTTTTATAATAATTACAATTAAATTACTTTATCATTTTTTCTCCTATTTATTATAGTAATAATATAAATACATAAATCATATTACATATCAATTTTTTAAGATAATTGTAGATAAACGAGTCATATATTATTTAATTAATTGAGTAATACTTTTGCACTAATCTTATAATCAAATAAATGTACATCTTCAAATATTAGAATTGTTTATAATTTCATCTTTAATTTTATTATCTAAATATATAATAAAAAATTTTATTTGTGCATCGCATGGGTAATTAGGCTATTATTTGCTTGAATTCAAGGAAGGATAACATAAAAAAAAAAAAAAAAAAAAAAAAAAAAAAAAACATAATCAATCCAACATATTTCATCAATTGCACAATGTAATATTTGTTATTATAATTTATATAATTGTATATCGATTCAAATATTCTTAAAATATTATAACAAATCAATTTCGTGCAACGCACGAATGAATATACTAGAATTTTAAGAATATTTGAATCAATATACAATTATATAAATTATAACAACAAATATTATATTGTGAAATCTATTTAATTTTAAAAATACAACAATATTAAAATTCTTAATCCTATTTTTCCGTCTCTACTCAATAATATTGAATCAATGATATTTAGTTTACACCAATATACTTAATTATTCGACTTTGTTATTTGCTTTTTATTATTTATAAATAAACTAATTTGTTATTTTTTCGTTTCTTTTTTTTTTCTTTTCTTTTAAGAGTTGATGTTATCGGATTCATATAAAAAAAAATAGTTTGCTCTGGTGGAGTTGAAGAAGTTGCTATCATTGTGGGGAAGAGCCTGAAGGACTTTCCAGAAATGCCAATTCCAGATAAAACTAGCATGGGTTTGAGTGAAAACATGTTGATAGCTGAAGAGTTGGCGTATGACAAGGAATCGTTGAAGGCAGAGCATGAAACATTGGTAACACAATTTACCAACGAGCAAAAGAATGTTTACGACTCTGTGATGCATGATATTGATTCCATTGGAGGTGGATTGTTCTTTGTGTATGGTTACGGAGGAACAAGCAAGACATTCGTGTGGAAAACGTTATCGTCAAAGATAATGAGACACGGTGATATTGTTCTGAATATTGCTTCTAATGGAATAGCATCTTTGCTCTTGCCGAGAGGCAGGACAACACATTCCAAATTTGTTATACCACTCTCTTTGAGCGAAGATTGCACGTGCAATATATCGCAAGGCAGTGACCTTGGTCAGCTTATAATAAGGAGCAAATTGATAATATGGGATGAAGCACTAATGACGCACAAACACTTTTTTAAGGCTTTGGACAAAACTATGAGGGATCTATTGGGGTTCGTCATACCGGGTTGTGACACCCCAAAAATCTGCATTCAATCCATGGATTAATTGAGTAATTAATCCTATTTTATTTGAGGAATTAATTCCTAAAATCCTGATTTTTAATACTCAAGGACTAGTATTTGACTAGTCAACCTTTAAGTTGTGTTGTACCTTGAGCTTTGAGGGGAGTTCCCTTGTTCCTTACACTTTCTAAAGGTTAGTAAGGGTATCCTTGACTTTTCACCAAGAGTTAGTATTGTAACCTAACCTAGAAGACTTCTTCATTTCATTCCTTACAATTCTTAGAAATTAGCTCTACCTTCTCTCTAGAAAGGTAAGTAGCTTATTCTCCAAGCTAAGTTGAGACCCTTGTCAAGATTCCAAGATTTGCTACCAAGATTCAACCTTTCACCTATTTGGGAATCTAGGAGGGTAAGATCTAAGTCCATCTTGTGTAGTTGGTTTCATCTTAGTCGTATTTTTCTTAAAGGTAGGATCTTTATGATCTTTTAGTTTAATCTTGAAGTGGGTTTGGAAAGTAAGCCTTGTGGGGAGCTTGTTGTGGTGTAAAGTGAAGTCTTTTGGTCTACAAGAGGTAACCCATGCTCTACAAAACCTATTTTGCTTACCTATATGTGATTTCTTGGATTCTACTTGTGCTTTACTATGAAATGTGAGGGTTTATGCATTTCTCTTGTGATATTGCATATCTAGAGCTTGTGTTTAGGGTTCCTTTGTGCCATTGCTTGGCATTTTCCATGATTCAAGTCATTTTGTTGTGTTGGGTGAGATTTGGCATGTTTTGGACTTGAATTGGTGTTTGGAGAAGAAAATCCCCGAAGGGATTATTTTGCACAGGTATATGTACCCGCGGGCGGAACGACGGGTCGAGCTCCACCCGCCGCCCACCCGCGGGGAACATGTAGCCGGTGTGTAGTGTACCCGCGGGTGGAACCACGGGTGGGAGCCTACCCGTGGGTCCACCCGCGGGGAACACAGTGGAGATGGATCGGGATTTGTTCCCCGTGATTCGTTTGACTCGGTATTTGGTCTTTTGACTTCCCGATGTTCTTTTGTGGAACTATTTGAGTGTCTTCTTGATGTTTCGTATGTCTAGAACTATACGGTAGGTATCCATATAGGACTTTGGTGTCTTGAATCGTGCTAAGTGTTCAACATTGTGTTTCGTTGGACCGTGAAGTGTCTTGTGTGTTCCTCGGAACTATCTTTGGTTTCCCCGTTGATAAGCATGCTAGTTTGGTATCTAAATGCTAGCGTGTGTGTTGTTTGTACCTTCCGATGGGTTGATGATAACTTGTGTTATTCATCGTTGTTGTTGTTGGGCTGTGACCCATTCCTTGATTGAGTGTGTTTCATACCTTTGTTGCAATCCGTTGATTGATTCCTGTTGAGGTGTGATGTGTGTGTGGCTTTACCTGGATTGCACGATTAGTGGTATGGGACACTAGTCACCAAGGTATTGCAGCGGTCCTCGTGGTGGCCGTGACGTGAATATGGAGTTGTGACCTGTGTGTCAGGTTCACGTATTTCTTGGGAAGGCGTGTGTCACCGTGTGTGTGTACGGTACCTTGTGTACTATGAAATCGGTGGCTTTGTCGGAGGTTTGTTGGAGGGGGAACGACGGTTCCCGGGGGAATAAGGTTGGACTTGGTGTACAGGGGTCCTGGAGGTAAAGGTTGGAACTAGATATAAGGTTGGGGGTAGCCATAAGGTTGGAACAGGGCATAAGGAAGGCATATCAACTCGTGATGGGTGATGTCACAAGGGCTTGTGTAGCCATTGTTGTGAGTTCTCTTTCTTGTGATGTGTGTAGTCACAAGGGCATGTTGTCATCGATCTTGTCTTTATCCTTTGTGTTGTGGTTATCCTTTGTGGTTTGGGATGTGTTCCCGTGTTATCTTTGTGAGTGTTGAGTCTTGTGTTGACTGTTGATCTTGGTTTTTGACTTATATACTTATGTATTCCGTTTCGAAGATGGCTTTACAACTTATATCTATCTATGTATGATATTTCACATGTATTGGTGGGTTACCAGCATTATTTGCTGACCGAGCGTCGTCCCATGTTTATCTTTGTGATCTTTCAGGTGATGTTTAGACGAGCGCGATGTCTAGTGCCTGGTAGTTTAGTGTCTTTCCCTTGTTTTTGGCTTGTGAGCTGATGTAGTGATAGACTTATGGATTTTGGGATAGTTGTGTACACAATGCAGATTTGACCACCGTAGCGTTTATCATTGTTGGTAAACGTGGCATAACACCCCTGTTTGGATTTGCTTTTATCCAGTTACCTTTTTGTCTTCCGCTGTGCTAGTGTTTTGTTGTGTTATCTGCATGTGTTAAGGCTGTCGTTTTAGCTTGTTTTAGAGGGGGTTACAGTAGTGCTTAAAAGACTTTTGGTGGAAAGACAGTAGTTTTGGGCAGCAATTTAGACAGATCCTACCTGTTATTCCGAAAGCAACAAGACCAGTAGTGATCGGAGAAACTATTAATTCTTCATACCTGTGGACAAATTGTAAGGTATTAACCAAGAACTTAAAACTACGAACCTTAGCTTCAAAGGAAGATAGACAGACGGTTGATTGGTTTTCAAAATGCATTGAAGACATCGGAGATGGGATTGCAGGGGTTGTAAACGGCTGTTCATTTGAGATCGATATTCTGACACGGTTTTTGTTGAAGTGTGGACAGGATCCCATAGCAACTATAGTGGAAATCACCTTCCCAAGCTTGAGATATGGCATGCTTGATGAGTCGCAGCTAGAAGGCCAAGTGATCCTCTCGCCGACTTTAGATGTCGTTGATCAAATTAATCAGTACATGTGCGGCATGAATACTGTAGAAGGACGAACATATTTAAGTTATGACTCTTTGTGTATGGCAGAATCAGACTGTGCAAATTTATCAGAAGTACACACTCCTGAATTCTTAAATAGTTTAAGATTGTCGGTCTTCCTAATCATTCATTGACATTAAAGGTCAGTGCACCTGTTATGTTATTGCGGAACATAGACCACTCCCTTGGCCTTTGTAACGGGACGCGGCTCATCATCACAAGATTGGCAGATCACATTATCGAAGCAAGAATCGTTAATGGGACACATGAAGGAACCAAAGTTCTTATCCCCTGAATGTCTCTCACTCCTTATACGAGATTGCCCTTTAAGTTCCAACGTAAATAATTTCCATTGATGCTTGCATATGCCATAACTATCAACAAAAGTCAAGGCCAAACACTAACTTAGGTTAGGTTATCGCTAAAAAACTCGGTCTTTAATCATGGACAATTGTACGTTGCTTTCTCTCGAGTCACCCATCCTAATGGCCCGAAGGTGTTAGCTCTAGTCGAGGATGGACAAGATTGTGTTGTGACTACCAATGTTGTCTACAAAGAGGTTTTCAATAATGTGTAAATACAATCGATGATATTATGTTTTTTTTCAAAATGACAAAGCTATATATCTAGACAAAAATATATCCTCTATACAAATGAATTATGACAGCAATTGATTACTATAACTAAGTTGCTAGAGGACGAGCACATTTGCCCAATTTAAAACAAAATCTTAAACAATGATATATAAAATCTTTAAAGTTATAACATCGCATGTGTACATCTACACATTAGCTATTAATTTGAGCAATTATTTGCTTGAATTCAAGCAATGATAACATCAACAAACATAAACAATCCAAATCATATCTTTAATTACACTATATAATATTTGATATTATAATTAAATAATTGTATATCGATCCAAATATTCTTAATATATTATAACAAATTCATTCCGTTCGCACGGGTGAAAATACTAGTTAATATTTATAACTTTAGACTTTAGATGGAGTAGTGGTTGAATCGTGATATAGATTTGTTGTTGGAATGATGGACACGTTTTCTCATTATCCATTTCATCATGAGTGTCATCGGAAAGGAATAAAGTTTTCTTATCTACCTACATTATTATTTTGCTATGTCGTATCATCTCTTGCCGCAAGCCGCAAAACAACAGTAAATACACTGAAGTGATCATTGCAGATGGCATCTAACTACTTCCCCACCTCAAATATTTTTGAAATTTTTTACTCGAATATTTTTAGACTTATTTTTCAAACTAGAGTTTTTTGTTTTTTTTTTTTTGTTTTGTTTTTTTGTTTTTTTGTTTGTTTGTTTTTTTTTTTTTTTTTGTTGTGTTTCGTCACTACTTTATCATATGTTATCTTCATGTCATACGCCTCATCGTCTAATGAAATAATACAAGAATTTAAAATTTCTTGATTAAAAATTTAACCTTGGTCAATTTGTGCATGTTTTGTCCTAAAGGTCTTGCTTTTAGAGTAAATTGTCCTAAAAACACGGTTTAGCACGGAAATACCTTTCTAATTGTATTTTACACATTTTTAGGTGTTTTTGGATGGGAAAAATGGCAAAAAAAAAAAAAGGTAAAAAGATCGAAACTAAGGAAAAGAGCAACTCCGATGCACCGTTCCTGCCACAATTATGCCTGAGAGGAGAAGCAATGGGATTATTTTCCATTTACGCCCACCTTACGGCGTAAGGGATGACGTGACAAGCGAAGAAGGAACGCGCACTGGAAGGGGGGAATTATTCCCCATTTACAGCGTAATAACGGCGTAAAGAGCTGCGTAAGGATGATCAGGCAACAGCTAGGAGAAACGCGCGCCTAAGGAGAATTATACCCCATTTACGCATGCGTCACGGCGTGAGGCCGTGCACAAATGGGAGGTCGAACAAGCTACCCTAGCTATTTAAGGAAAAATCTGGTTCATTTGCTAGGGGAGCCACCAATTTTAGAGAGAAGTTTTTAGAGAGATTTTAGATCTAGAGTAGTTTACATTTTTCTCTTTCTAGGTTTTAGCCAAATTCCATTTGATTTGCAAGAAGATTTGAAGATTTGAAGATTTGGAGTCCTTTGTAGCTTGGATCTTCATCTCCCACTTGTCATTGAAGTGATCTAGCTTGCATTTGGGTGAAATCTATTCCTTACTCTTTATTTCTTAGATCTTGTTTTGCCTAATTTGTAATTGCTTGATCTTGGTCTTAATGATGATTGGCTAAAATTTTAGGGGTTAGGATTATTGTGTAAATTGCTATTGCGTTGGATGGCTTAATTTGATTTGTGATATTGTGGTGATTGAATGTTGTTGGCTTGAATGTCTTGTTGGAAGTGGGATGAGTACAATGACTCTTGTGTGTGAGTGTGCACCACATGCTTGTAGAATTAGGAAGGATTATGTTGTCAAGAGATTGAGACATAATCCTAGCCTCCTTCCCTTGCAATTCTCGTCCTAGATCCAAGAGGATTAGGCCCGGAAAGGAATGTGGGAAAGGTGTTTGTTAAATTGCCCCATACAAGATAAGAGCACTAGCGTGTCACATCTCCCTATGGGAGGCGTAAATACCGAGAGGTTTTGCGTTAGTGTTACGCACTGGCAAGCCATTCCTCTAGACCTTTGCCACAACACGCAACTACCGCCCAACCTTTGGAGTATCCAACCACACAATACAATTAGCACACAATCCTAACCCGTCTTTCTCTCTTTTGTTTTACTTTTGTCTTTGCCTTTCTTATTTTCCTTTGCAACTCCTACCTTGTTAATGCAACCCCTTGACCAAGAATCTATAAGCCCAAAAAATCCTCACCATATCACCCACTCAACACTTCCAAGTTTTCACTCCTTAGAGTACGATACTCGGGGACCTTAGTACCACCTTAAGTGTAGTAAAAGCTAGTTTAGAAAACCTTAATAAATTAGAGCTTAAAAACCTAAAAAGCCCTTTACCCTTGGTGAGTTTTAAACCCGAGCCTTTGCTTTGCCAACCCAACCCTTACACCATCTAAACCATTTGTGTTTCTTAAACCTTGTTAGACTTAAATTCCTTTTCACCACATTTTTTTTCTCAAAACCCTAGCCTAAATCCCCAAATAAAATTCTTTTTTCCTCTTTCTTCCCCATTCTTCTCCACCCGTGAACCAGCCGAGAAGCAGCAACGCGAGGAAGCCAGCCATTGACCTCCTCCAGCCCAGCTATCCACCGCCCGTCTGCCACCCGCTACCGTCGAACAGCGCCAGAAGCCGCCGCAACTCGCCGCCGCCTCCTCGCCGTCGGATTTTGGAAAAAAAAAAAAAACAAAAAAAAATTGAGAGAAGAGAGTTCAAGCTTCTACCTTGGGTTGATTTTGCATCGTGCCTAGAAAGACAAGTATCCTCAAGAAAGTATATTGGGTGAATGCCCACTACTCGGTTTTGGAAGGTAAGACTTTTGAGCCCGAATTCTTTTCAAGTACTATTTTGGATGTGCTTAATTTTCAAGGTATTTTGGATGGATATTTGGCGATTAAGAATGAGACCTACCCGAACTTGGTAAAAGAATTTTATCGTTGTATGGTTGTGAAAAAATCGGGTAGTAAGTTGGAAATCACCTCGAAGGTGAATGGTGTTAAGATTGTGTTGAATGAGAATAGGTTAGCCAAGCTCCTTAAGTTAACTCTAACCGGGGTCGCAGAGTACAAGAGAGATACTTGGATTGGAACAGAAGGCCTTGACCACCGGGATTATCTGGGGTATTTGTTGGGAAGGACAGATGGTTTCACTCAGGCCACTAGGCCTTAAAAGAGATGGTTGACCGGGGAACAAAAGATCTTAGTGATGATTGTCACTGATAGTTTATTTCTTAACAACAACAAAAGCAATCAGGTAGGGAGTTTGGAATGCACCTTCGCCTACTTCCTGAAACACAAGGTGAAGTTTAATCTGCCAGCCTTGATGCTATAACACATGGAGTATTGCGTGGGTCACAACCGCAAGAGCTTGCCTTATGGGATGATCTTAAGCTGGATCTTTGAAAGGAAAGGAGTGGATGTTAGAGAGACAATTGCCAAGTCTGTTGGCAAGATGGTTTTTGACGCTTTGAATCTTCGAAGCTGCAACTTGTTTCAAGTGGAGGGTAATGAGTATATTTCCTTAGAAGAGATAGCTAAGAAACCATCGGGGGAGAGGAGGCTTTTAGTATATCAGTTGGCCGTTCTTATTAAGAAGCTCAAATCTGTGGTTGAGGAGTTGAGGGATGGTGACGATGAGGAAGAGGATAGTGATCCCGACAACGAAGAAGAAGCCCGGAGGAAGGAAGTTCGAACCAAGGGAGAGCACGACCCCATGAATATGGATGAGCGTGTGGTAGCTCTCTTGCGGAAGCAGAACCGGATGATCGAGGAAGGGTTCACGTACATGAAGGCGAAGTTCGCTTCAGTAGACCGGAGGTTGACCGCTTTGGAGTCCAGTTCAAGTAGAAATAGAGCTGAAGAAGACTCGGGTGATGAAGCCTCTGAAGACTAGGACGGTGGATCCTCTCAAGATGAAGAGTGGGGTAACCCTTCTTTACCCCTCGTTTGTTTTGTTGGAATCTGTTGTCATGTTATGTTTGAACCTCTAGTAGATTAGTTGGGATAGTCGTGTGATAAAGTTGTGGTATGAAATAGGCCTTTGTTTGGTAGTTCTTTTAGTTTTAGAAGTGGTGTTTGCATGGTGGAATCCTTTGTGCCTTAAAGACTTTGATTGTTGTCTATTCTCAACCTTGTTATCCATTTTGTTTGTTCACCGTTGTTGTTGTTGAACCTCGTTGCACCCAAGCTTCGAGGACGAAGTTTTTTGTTAGAGGTAGAGGGTGTGATACCCTGGGAAAATCCAATCTTTAAATAGAATTAATTATGAAATTAATTCTTAGCCTTTTCAAGAATTTCCCTTCCAATTCTTCAATTAAAAGTCGAAAGACTTAAATTGACCAATCCTTTGGTCAATTGGTGTAGTCAATAAAAAGGAATTTGAGCTTTATGAGTTGTACATGGCCTTTTTGTCTTCCTAGCCTTTTAGTAAGGGTATGCTTGTCTTTTCACTCTTGCTTGGCATTCAAGCCTTTCCCTAGCAAGATCACATTTCATTCTTTCATTTGGCAAGATACTCTAAACTCTCTACCCTCTCACTAGAATAGTAGCTTTCTTCCCAAGCCAAGAAAAGACCACCTACTTCCTTGCAAGGGATCTCTTCAAGATTTCACCTTTCCACCACTAAGGCACTAGGAAGGGTAAGATCTTAGTTTAGTTGTTATTTTTGAGTAGTTTTGCATGGTCTTTATCTAAGTTATGGTTCTTCTTGTGTGGTTTTGGTTTGGTTGAGAAGACTTGGTTGAGGAAGATCTTCAAGAAGAGGTCTAGGGGCTAGAAAGGAAGTGTATCTTGGTCTAAAAAGGTAACACATGCTATACAAAACCTATTTTCTACTTGATATGATGATTCTTGACTTCTATTTGATGTTCTTGGTGTTATTGTGAGATTTGATGCATATTCTTGTGATTATGCATGTTTAGAGCTTGTATTTAGGGTTCATAAATGCTATCCTTTGAGCTATTCATGTATTCAAGTCATTTCCTTGTTGAATGTGAGGTTTCGGGTGTTTTGGACTTGAACTTGGCTTTGTTGATGTTTTTCCCCAAAGGGAATTTTGGATTGCTTCAGGGGAGGCAACGGGCGGAACAACAGGCGGGGGATCTACCCGCCGTTCCACTCGCTGCCATGGTGAGTCGTGCCTGGAGGGCAGGTCTACGGGTGGTGGTCCACCCGTGGTTCCACCCGCTAGAACCGGCGAGTAGGTTGTAACACCCCGTGTTACGGCCTTCAATCCCGGATTAATTATTTAATTAATCCCGTTAATAATAATTAAATATGATTTAATTATGTTAGGTTTACCTTTAATTTATTAGTAAGGTCCACCATGAACCGTGGACCCTTGCCCGAATAAGAATCTTAAGCCTGTTAGGAATAAAGGAAGTAGGCCTTTTACTATTCAGATTAGGATTAGGATCCTCTTTAATTAATATGGTCCACTATGGACCATGGACCCTTATCCCTAAAACAAGCTCTAGCCCTATAAGGAATAGAATTAGTAAATCGATACCATTCAGGCCCTAACTAGGAGTCTTAAATATATAAATAGGGAACTTAGGACGCACCTAGAATCCCCACCACAATAATCTCTCACCACCCAAAGAGTTCCAAGAATCCCCTTAGGAGAAATCAAGAAAGCTTAAAGAAAGATCCTTCATAGCCAAGGAATTAATTAAGGCAAAGAGGTAACCCATGTCTCAACAAAACCTATTTTCATAGCTATGATTCCCCCTTAGGGTTTCCCCCATATTATTGTGATTGGCGAGATATGATGATGATTATTGATGTTTGATGTGATGATCCCATGAGGGATCTTGATAATCTTGATATTGGGAGATTCTTGATAATTATGGAGTTCTTGATGATTATATGGAGTTCTTGATGATTATGTGTTGTTCTTGATAATTGTGTGATGCTCTTGATGGTTATGTGTTATTCTTACCGAATCTTGCAATTAGAAGACGAATCGTATCCTTGTTGATATAAAAGTGATTAGAACCCTAGGTTGTATCGTATGTTATGATTCTCGGATTGTGGGGTGGGGAAATCGCATGTTTGGGTGTTGATTATGTCTAGAAAAGCATGATAGGTTATGTGCCGTTCGTTTCTCGTATTTAATCCGTTAATTGTCTACGTGTTGTCGTTAATTGCATTGTAAGGTGTCTAAGCATGGTTTCGGGTTCCACAATGGTTCCCGGGGCGCAAAAGTGATGAAAAGAGTCAGTGGGGGGTAGGTGGGGGGGTAGGAGACCCGCCACCTACCCACGGCCGTGAAACACCGCCCGGCAGCGGGTGGCCGGCGGGCGGGCAGCTACCCGCCGGCGACCCGCTGCCCGGAACAGTAAAGTCCGGCGGGCAGCCGGCGGGTGGCCCCCCACCCACTGGCTACCCGCTGGAAATTATCCCACCTTGGGATCCCAGCTTCCCCGTTTGATGTTCCCCCGTTCCCCGTGGTGTCCCAACGGACTCCGTTTATCGTGCCTATGTCTAGTTTGATGTTTCGGGTACCGTTCGTAGGTTTATGAGTCTATTGTATTGCATGCTAGTTGAATTGGTATCCCGTTGACCTAGGTGGTAGGAGTATGAATCCCTTAGGACTATTCTTTGTATGTGAAGGATCACGCATAGGTCTTGTTATACGTTTCCTCCCCCTTCCTAATGTGTAATGTGGGTTGCATGTGCTTGCTATGTGTTATGTGTGTGTGTTACCCCAATTCGGTTGCGATCGGATTAGTTATCCTGAGCTGCGGTTCAGAAGCTGGTTGCGGTCAGATTGATACTCTTGGGCTGCGGTCCACCGTTTGGTTGCGATCAAACGTTTCTATACGAGCTGCGATTCGTCCTTTTTCCTGGCTACGGTCAGATGACATTCTCTTGGGCTGCGGTCCACTGTTTGGTTGCGATCAAACACTATGATGAGCTGCGGTTCATCGGTCGGTTGCGATCGACCCCTCCGTGTTGCGATACGGGGCAGGGTGCTGCGGGGCCGTGTCAGAGCTATATGCGCTGACCCTCATGTATGGGCATGCGATTGGTCCTGTGGCGCCAACAAAGTGTGTTATGTGCTGTGACATGGACGAGTTGTGACTACGAGTGTCTTGGGAGATGTGACTATGGGATTTATATTGGGGATTGTTCATGTTGGGTTATGATCATTGTTTATGCTTTGCCTTATCTGCCTTATCTTTTGTGAACTGCATATGCTCGTTATAACTGTTGCTTGTGTCTGGCCTTATCTGTCGAGTCATTCCCGGTTTTAAAGCTAGAGTTCGTAGGATATATTTTCATGCTCAAAATGGTTTTCGTATATCTATATATATCTCTATATGTATTGTATTTCAACGCGTTGGAGTGGGTTACCAGCATCTCTCGCTGAACAGATATATTTGGCTTTCAGGCACAGAAGATTAAGTCACTGGAGTGCGCTAGAACTTAGAAGTAGATAGTTTCCCTCTTGGCCTGCGTGCCACGTTTACGTATTTACGCTTTGAGGATATTAGTTAGTTAGCCTGTGCACTTGGGTTCTCTAGCCCAGGTGTGGCATAGCACCCCGAACGCTTGTATTTATATCTTGGGATTTAATAAGATTCTACCTTTATTATAAGTTTTAAATGTCTTGAAAATCAGGGGTGTTACAGTTGGTATCAGAGCTTAAGTTTGACCCTAGGATAAGACTCTTAAGACCGGACTTTAGGACACTAGGCTTGAACTCTAGGTACTTAGAAACATAGGATCCAGGAATCTTAGGACGCGCAGTGAGATTGTGAAACCTACACATAACCTCCCCTCACTTCATCCCTCTCTAACTTAAAGGAACCTCCCCCTATGCTTACCACACCAGGTAAGGGTGCGAATAGATAAGTTTACTTCCACAACTGGGTAACGTACACTTACCCGATAAATCGCCTCGTCCTAACTCCCATCAAAAGACTTGACAAGGACCCTGACCAAAGAAAATGAAGATTTGGATGACTACTAAGAAGAGGCGTTACAGTCAGGACTGCTAAAAGGGACGGACTGCAATACGCACCAACCCAGGGTAACCACGATAACCCCCGAGTCAGACAAATGACATGCACCTTCCGACAAGTTGCCTTATCTCGGCAAACCCGGGTTGCGGCTACAACAAACAGGAAGGAGAACTAGGACACCTATTAAAGTAGCGAAGGAACG